ACAGGCAGCGAGCGCTGCCCACCCTCCGCGATCGGCCGCCTGGGGGACGGCACGGCCGCGCGCCCAGCCCGAGCGGGTGCGCACCCTTCGGAGGCGAGGGCTGGTCTGCTGACGCCGCGAGGGAGACAGCCGAGGCTCTTCCAATACGCGGAGTGTTTCACTCTGAATCACTCGCCCGGGTCATTTCTAGGTTTAGACTCACATCAGCGTTTCCGAACCCCATCATCCTCTGGATTAGGAGACCGGGCGGGGGCGGGGAGAGGCGAACAAGAAGGCTTTTGGAAGTCAGGACCGAGAGTCTCCTGCTTCTTACCTCCGCCCTCTTCTGTCACCCTGCCTGGTGGCTCTCCACCCACGAATAACTATACATCGAGAGAGGGAGGGCGTTTCAGTAGCAGCCCAACTAAATGTCCGAGGAACCACGGACAACTGTAGCTCTCCCCTGGGTGTTCGGAGCGAGAGGAGAGGCGATGGGTGCTGTCCTCCTGGGGTCGCTTACTGGACCGCCGAAAGCCCTGGGAGCCGTTCCTGCAGCACTTTCGCCAGGACTAGGTAGGAGGCGCTGAAAAGACCCCGGCGTCTCCAAGTAATGCGCCTGGTCAGGAAGGTTGGAACTTCCAACTTGGATGGGCTCCCAGCCTTTTTCCCCAAGAGGACTTCTGGCGGGGAGGGGGGTGCTTCTGATAGGGGCAGGGCTTCCCTGAGCAAAGGAAAAACCCGTCCATGCCACTCATGGGTTTTGATTCTACAAGTGCTCCTGGACCTCGAGCTGCAGCGCATTCATCTTCCATGATTCAGACTTCAGAGTGGTGACTGGAATAAGGAACGTAGCACTGAAGGCCACGCTCATGGTTGGGTCTGGTTATCTTCCCAGTTTTGAAGGGGAAATGTTATTGGGAAATTATTTCAGAAATAAATCTTCAAGGAAGGGAGATTTGGACACCAGCTGATGATAGCCCTGTGTCTGGGCAGGAGTTGCCTACTCTGTTGAGACTCTACAAATGTTAATATATTCTTAAAGATATCCATTGAAGCAACATAATAGCTTCCCTTTGAAAGGGACATGGCCCAATTTTTATTTAATTTTCTTGCCCATTAACTCAGTTATTTATTGAGCAGTTCTGAGAATAAAACTCACTTTAGTAAGGTTTTGAAACCCTAGGTTAACAATTAGGAAACATTGTGTGTGTTTTTACCTGACAATATATAGTACAATTCTATAGTTTTGTTTTGACTCAGCAAAGACTGATTGTCCTGAAAATGGGATCTTTTAGTCTGTTTTTTCTCCTAGTTGGATTGTCACAGCTCCTTTTACCCTACAAATTGACTTCCTATACCTAATGAATGCAACCGAATCGCTCTACTGATTGTGTTTTTTGAGCACAGTCCCTGAAACTTTATCATTTGAACAGTAATCTCTGAAAACAAATCCAATCACATCTTGCTTCAGACCAAAAGAGTAATGCAACAGGAATCAATTGCATGGCAATGCATATATTTTCAAACAAATATTTATAAATAACTGTTGGATATATCTTAAAACTATCGCACACATATGGAAATGAAAATGTCCATACTGTGATTTTCTATTTCACATACTCATTAGATAGTTTTTAACTAGATGATATGTGTATAGTTTGGTTTTGGATATGTTTGTTTTTAGTAAGTAAATTTAATAACTTGTGGGTATTTAAAATATTGATGATTTGACCACTCCAAAAACAGCAATTGCAACTATAAATTATGATTGTGTTTATTATTTTCCATCTAAGGTATTATTAACATATGCACATACTACCAGAGAATAAAATATAAGAAATTAATGGCAAGGAAATAATTTACTTTATATTGTCTTGTTAATTGAATCTTTTAGATAATTGTTGACATTATTTTTCATTTTTGCCCAGGGGAATAAGGCTCTTCAAAGTGTGTGTGAATCTGATTGAAGTTTTGAAATAATAATAACCATAATGTTTAATATTCTTAAAATGTTTACTTAGTGCCAAGTAACGTGCTAATCGATTTGCATAAATCATGCCATTTAATTCTCAAAACATGGTCTGAGAGGTAGTCTTAACATCCCCGTTTTATAAATTATTTAATAAATTATATGAGTTACAGAGAATGAGAGACTTGCCCAAGGTCAGACAGCTGGTGAGTGTTCATGCTGGAATGCAAACCTGGGCCTTCCGACTTCAAGGCTTAGTCTCCTAACCACAGGTCTACATTACTGTATTTCCTGCCTATGTGGTAGTGAGCTCAGGTTAGAGTCTTTTATTTATCTTACATGTATGGTTGACTGTCTCCATGTTAGTTACATAAAATCTTCCTCCAAATATTTTCAAAAATATTTATTCACACCAAGGTTTTTTTATTTTAGTGACCTAGTACATCCAGCTGCAGTGTACCGTCAGGCTTACTATCAAGTTTCTGCTATTTCCTCCTGTCTTATGAGGCCAGTTGCAAAGGCCTTCCAAAAAGTCCCTAGTTTTGGGCAGAAGGGATTCCAGGTCAGATGTAGGACCAGGGATCCTGGGGAGGCCTAATAGCTCTATTTCTAGTGTTGCAGTCTGGTACATTTTGACTTTTCTGTCAATTTTAAATGGCAGGAAGCCCTGACCTATTTGAAGAAGTGGTCCTGATTCTCTTCAACAGAAATGATTTTACTTTTTTTCAAATGTGAACCAAATGAGAAAAAGATAGTAAGAGTGTTCTCACTAATTCAGTGTGGCTTTTTACCATTTATGAAATAAATTAGGGTGAGGGAAAAGAAGGTACAAATAAAAATGACAAAATATCAAATAAGCTTCAGCTGAATTCTAGAATAAAGTGGTCTTTTTAACTGTATTTGCATGGCTTAGATATATACACTCAGATTATATTTTAATGTTAACATATTGTGAAACGTGGTTATAAATTTGCAATAGTAAGCATACAGGTTGCATTTAAACATGATTTGCCTACATTTGTGTACATACACTTAGATATTTATATAGGTTATTTATACTCACTAAACTAGCCCTTTTTTTCTAATTCCTCTGTATAAAACACAGACCATCTTGTTGATGAACTATGCTAGCACATCCAGAGGGCTAGCCCTTCTTTTATAATTGGTATTGAAATAAAGGTTTAGTCTGAGAAAAGGAAAGAACTGTGACATAAGTACTAGTGTAACTTTGATTCCTTAACCTAGACACTGTTTTTTATCTGGGTTACTTAGACAGATTCTTTTGTCCAGGCTGAAAGGCTAGTTTAACATGTCAGCATAGTGAGAGGCATGGTAAGTATAGTAACACAAAATCAAATTTTTCCCAAAATACTTGCGTCATAAATGTTTGACACTCTAAAGGGACTTAGGGAGAGTTTGCCCCAGCCACTTTGACAGATCACAAAAATGATGTAATTTTCCCTGTGATCTTTGCAGAAATAGAACCCAGGTTAGCCTGGCTCAGTGGAGGTTCTTCCATGGATATATGCCTGAAGTCACTGACACCTAATAGTCACTGACACTGAACATTTTTGAATCTCATTTTCTGAAGTTTTAAAATTAGCTACCGGAACTTCCTTAGCTGGTTGTGGCATAACGTGGGAAAACATAGTCCTCTTGTATAACACCTAAGAGGCATCCAACGAATGGCATTTTCCTTCTCTCTCTTTTATCTGAGCACAAATTCATTATTTTCGAGCATTTTCATGCATTCTCTGTAGTATGTTCATGTGACTCATAATACTGATTGCTATTCAGATTTTATGTAAGATTTAACTGAAACATAACGTTTTCAGTTATCAGACAAGATGCTACAACAAGCTAGCATCCATACCACCTCAAATCCTAGCCCCGTATTTTTACTTAGAAGGTATTCAGAGGAAAAGAACACTTTTTGCAGTACCTGCCTGGAGGATTTTACATGTTCCCCATACCAGGGAGATTTGAAGA